ACGTAGATTCCATGGGGATGATTCAAGACCCTAATAATATATATATATATATATATATATGTTTAGAAATTTGTAAAATATCAATTCGTAGTAATAATATATACACTTTTTTTTATTTTAACACACCTCAGTATCAGCATTAGGGTCCCATTTAGTCATCAATCTAAACCAATATAAAGCTCCAAGCGCAATAACACAATATACCAAAAAGAAAGCTATTCCATTTCCAAATACACGATCCAAATTAAAACTAAACAAGTTAGGAATTGTATCCAACAATATTTTTACCCAACTTTGAAATATTCCAGGATTTCCAAATGACAATACAATTGTTAAAAATTGAAAAAAATCTCTAATAATTTCCAATTTAGTCATTTTATCTGGTGAAGTCTGAGTTCCAAGGACTCCTTCTATAGCAAGAACACCATCAATAGCAGCATCTAACCAATCATTTCGCCTTCCTTGATTTAATGGAATTCCGAGAAATGTTGATGGTTTTTTAAGCATATTATTTTCAAGATCTTCTAGAGAAGCACCATCTGGAATTTGATTCATTGGCAGAAATATCAATTCAGAGAGTTTATTAGATTTACAATCTTTTACAAACTTTTCGTATTCTTCTTGAGTCATTAAATCTTTGGGATCAGAAAATTCAGTGGGTGGTAAACTTTTAATATATTCATCCAAATGAGATAAATGTATCCATGGAGAACCAGCTTTGAATAATTCACTGGATTCTGATTCGTCAAATATATTAATACTAAATTTTGTTATTTTTGACGGATTTAAATCAGCATCATGCTGAAATAACACATTAGCATCCTTTTTTTTTCCAACCGAATCTTTCATAGCAGAAATAACTCGAGTGAAATCTGGTACGGTCACATTATTTCTTCGGAAAGCTCTGTTGAAATTGTTATGTCTCGCACGTGCTGTAAGATCAGGCATAGAACGATTATTTTTTCTGTATTCTACAGATGCAAGATTATGTGGTACCATGAATGACATTTTACTTTTGGATGAAATATATTCTGGTAAATTATGATCACCGGGATCTTTCGTTTTAATGTGTTTAAGGAAAGGATTTTTTTTTAATGTGCTAGTTGGAGATAAAATGCTTCGTTGTGGTCGTACAGAATTATAAGGTGATTTTGGGACTTGTACAGGTTTTAAAGATTTTCGTTTTGAACGTTCAGATGATATCGATTTTAAATCATCGGATGAAGTATAAGTGTAAAACTTTCCAGAATTTCGTAGAGTGACAGTCAATGTATTTGGTAGTTTGTTTGATAATTTTAGTTTCTTGGAACTTGATGAATAAGAAGTTGGTACAGGTTTTCGAGTTGTGCTATTTGATTTCGCAGGTAATCCCCGTTGATTACTCTTTTCGAAACTTGTATTATCATTTGTCATATGTGTTTCTTGCATTTCCATTATATAAGTCGAACTGTCTTGGACTGATGGCAGCGATTTCTTTTTATTTCCAGATTTTTGACCAACTACTTTATACAATAACGGATTATTAGATTTTTTCACACCAACTTTCCCACCAGATGGTTCATTAAATCCATTTTCTGACAATTTTAACGAATTAGGATTAGACGACGTAGATGGGGATTCGTCTTGAAGTTTCCAAGAATCTATATCATTAGACAAAGAAGTACTCAAAGTTGGTAATGCATAGATATTTGATGTTGGATCGGATAATCCACGCTTTAATGAAGATACTAATGTAAATTCATTAAAATTTGACGAATGGCCAACTTTTGATAATGGATCAAGTTCTGGTACATCAAACTTTAAAGAAGATAATTGAGGCGTTTGCGGTAATAAATCTGGAATGTTTTCAGAACCTTTGCTATTATTGTTCGTGGTATATACAGGAACCTGTTTTCGAAATGGAGAAGGTATCATTGAATCTCTTTTGGATTGAATAGGGATTGTTCTTCTCCTATGTGAAATTACAGGAGTTGGAGAAACTATAGAAGATTCAGTAGCATCTTTTGGCAAATCAGGTAACTTTTTCTCAAGCGATGGATCAGGAATCGGGATATGTAAAGAAGTTGACTGAGTTGCTTGTGTTGTTGGTAAATCCTTAATAAAGGGGGAATTGGTTGGAGCATCATTAATAGCTAATTTAACGGGGATTTCCTTCGCGGATGACGTATGTGTTGACTCAGGAATTGTTTGTTGTATCGGAGATGTTTGTAGAGGACTTTGGATAGAAAGACTTTTATCAACAGCTTTTATCGGAGATGATGATGATATATGAAGTGGATCCGTTAGAATAGTTGGAATTACTACACTTGAAGTTGATACATTATGTGATTCCAGACTGTCTTGCGACATAGATGTAGTATCATTATTATCGGTAATGGAAGTTATGGGAGACAAAGCTGTCAGAGGTATAGTTGGTGGTAAATTTATTTGTTCCGGAGTTATATCTGATCGTATAGTTGGTGGTAAATTTATTTGTTCCGGAGTTATATCTGATCGTCTCGTTGGTGACGAAGAAGGAGAAGTAACATTTTCAAATCTAGACACCAAATTTGATACTTTTTTCTCTCGTGGCATTGATCCACGTTGAATTTGCTTTGGACTAAATGGTTTATTGAGAAAAGAAATATCTTTTGGTGGAACAGAATTTTTTCGAGAAATTATTGTTGTGGTTGCGTTTTGTGGCAAAGAATCCCAATTCATTCTCCCTCGATCATTTTGGTTTTGAATAGTTTTTATGCCAACTATCGAAAGACTGCTATCTTTCACAAAGTCTATATTTGATAGACTATTATTGGAATTATTATCAGTATTTCCATTTTCATTGTTCACAGAATTTGAGTCTTCTACGATCACGGCAGGTACAGAGGGTGGAATATTTGTTAAACTCGAACTAGAATGATGATTATTATTGATCGATGACTTTGAATGTTCTGTAATTTTTTCTTTTTGTTGGGTCGACCAAAAACTTATTAAATCATTAACTGGTTTTGTAACTGGTTTTTTAGACATTATCGATGATAATTTTAAACGTTTATTACTGTATTAGATTTGACACATTAAAAGATTTTTCCTTGGTTTATAAAGATTTTTCTTTGGTTTATCAATTTGAAATAAGAATAGGATAAAGATATCATAAGAACTGTATCATGAAAAGAAAAAGGAATCATTAATAAAGAATCATGAATTTTAATTTGTAAAATTAAATTGATGATAACGATAAATGATATTTGAAAATAATAAATGGATGTTTTTTCTGGACATTAAAGATTTGCTGCAAGTACGATTAATGAAATTCCTTTTTCTTTTTAAAGATAAAATTCTCTTCGCCATAAATTATTCAAAGAGAAATTGAATAAGAAACGAAGGAATGATACCTTTGTGCGTAGAAGGAAGAATGCGTATACATACGCATATATACTATATATTATGTAATTTACCCCTTGAACACAAACCCTTATTTCTTATTTAATTAACGTTATAATTTTCGCCCTCCAAATAGAACACGTGATTATTGAGTGTATCGATGCATTTTAATCACGCCAGTGATGTTTAACATTCATAGTTGTTATTTCTTAAAATTGGCCAAGTAATTGATATTTAATGCTCCAAGTAATTGCTCAAAACCTCCTTAACTTTATTTCTAATCTCTAACCTTACTCCGACTTCTATAGTAAAATTTCTATAAGGATATGATGCTGGCTGATTTAGTACTACTGTATATTTTTATCTTATTATTGTATTATATCATTATGACACTTATCACATGCCCATAATAGAATTCCGCGAATGCTGAATTTAATTTGTATTTATAATTTGTATGGGTAAGTATTTTGAACCCGGACCAATTTTATATATGACGTAATAACATTTTGGTCTGGATTCAAAAATAATTACCCATTTAAAATAATGTATAAGAGGAAAAATAAAAATGCCGAACTTTACTCATTAAAATTTGTATGTAGTAATTAACGATAAACAGAATAACTTACCATCGGCATCAGTATTATTAATATCAATTATTAATATCAATTATTTTTGATATCAATGAAGAAAAATAAGTGAAGATATGATTTAAAAATTTGGTACGTCATTTTATTAACTTGACCTATCGCTGCTTTCTTATTTTTTTTAAAACCAAATTTTACTTTGAACCATATAGAATCTCTTTAATGTACCTGTATCGCAAATTAGGGAGTCATATGAATAACGCCATTATTCGCAATTAAATTATTTGTCAAATTAATATATATATTTTTGAATTGATGATTTTTTATATACAGCTTTTTTTTTATATTTGAGCAAAAAGATCTGGATTTATTCTTGGTTAAAGTCGATTTGACTTGCCGAAATACATCGATAAATCTATCGTGCCGAAGTCATATGATCATAAAAAGTTAAATATCACGCCTACTGACACCCTTAGCAAAAATCGCACTTTACCGTTACAATTTCACAATCTAAAAAAAAATGAGTTTGGTTTATTATTATATTTCTTTTTTTTGTTTTACGTTTTTAAATATTGACCTGGTCTTGAAATCACTATGGGTAAAAAAATTGCCTGATCAAATTATCACCGAAATACTTTGGTTCAGTAGACTGAAAACTGCCTCGTCCTTATAAGTATTCTTGTGATCATTATAAAATATTATACATCTAATATATCGCAATTTCTATAACATTGATTCTGGCATGTTTAACAGGGTATAGGATCTATTTTCTCTCACGTGACGTTCGGACGTTGAAAAAAGAAAGTGGAAAGTTTTTTTTGCTGAGACCCAAAAAGCAGTTCAGTAGTCTAAATTTTAAGGTAAATACGACTTCTGCAAAGCGAGACTTTGGTTAGTTTATTGAAATAGAAGTTAGCACAATGCATACACATAAATTCATAAGTGTGCTACCAAAGTCTAGTGATTGGACTTATTAACAAGTTGTGCGCCTGCCCATGCGCCGGGTGTTTTTTTTTATCGTATTGGCCAATCAGGTTTCGAGATAAGGCGAAGGAAATTTTATTTTTGTTAATGTGATAGAATTATGAGATTTTTTGATGTTTAAAGCGGTTAGTTGTTAATAAAGATCGATTTTATGTTCGAGTTATGAATGTAAAGTTTGAGTATGATTAATATGTTTAGCAGTAATGGGAATATGATGGAGTTGTCTAGTGTTTGCTTTTAATTTGGTGATTTATCGAAATTGAATTTGGCGTTTATGTGCTCGAAGGGGTTTTTAGCTGATTTCTGTTATAGTCAGTATTAAGTGTAGTTATCAAGCTTTTTGTTTTCATCGATTGTACGCAGCGTAGAGGGTTTATTAAAGTATTTTTATTGGTTAAAGATTCGTTTCATTTAAGTTTTGATGATGCGGTGTATATATTGGTTTTTATTGTTGTTTATTTAATTTGTTTATTCGTTTGATTTTTTTTTTTTATAAAAAATTAAATTTATTTTTATTTTTATGAGCATTTCTAACGGCCTTCTCCGTAGGTTTTATTCAATATCATATATGTATATAAGATCGCATGCAAATTTAGATAATTATATAACTAATACCTACCTAACCTTAACTCTAAGCTTTCACCCTGACCCTAAAACAACAATATTTAAGGTTTGTCATGCATACTACATTAATTACGTTCTATGTAGTTATTTTATGACTTAAAACAGAATTTTGTATATATGTAGCATTTTTTAATTAAAAATTAAAGCAATTTTTGCAATTCTTAAATTTCATAATAAGTTTATTTAATTCACCATGAATCTCAACAGTATTTTTATTTTCATTACTAAAGTAATGTGAATAAAATGATTTGAACATATTGGTAAGTATTTATATTATTGAGAACTCATTTTTGCTATTTTTAATTCCATCTATTAATAAATGTTTTTTATACCTGTTGGCTAAATTAATGCAAATAAAGGATTTAAGTGTAATGGTAAGTAAGTATTTATGTTCTTGGTTGATGAATTTGTTTTGCTACTCTTAATTTAATTATGAATAAATGTTTTTTATATCCACTGGGTATATTAATGCGAATAATGATCTGGGTATAATAGTAAGTAAGTATTTATGATCTTGTTTGGTGAATTTGTTTTGTTGCTCTTAATTCAAGTTATGAATAAATGTTCTTTATACCTACTAGCTAAATTAATGCAAATCAATGATTTTGACATAATGGTAAGTAAGTATTTGTAGTCTTGTCTGGTAAACTTGTTTTGCTGTTCTTAATTTAATCTATTAATAAATATCCTTTATGCTTACTAGCTAAATTAATGTGAATAAATGGTTTGGTTGTAATGGTAAGTATTTATTTATGTTCTGGTTTGATGAATTTATTCTGCTGCTTTTAATTCAATCATGAGTAAATGTTCTTTATACTCACCAGCTAAATTAATATGAATAAATGATTTGGGAGTAATGTGTGGATTTGTTTAGTAAACTTGCTTTGCTGTTCTTAATTCAATCTAATTAATAATTTTCCTTATACCTACCAGCTAAATTAATGCAAATAAATAATTTGGTCTTAATAGTAAGTAAAAGTATTTATGTTTTTGTTTAGTGAATTCATTTTGCTGTTATTAATTCAATCTATTAATAGATGCATGTTTTTTATACCTACTGGCTAAATTAATACAAATGAATAATTTAGGTATAATAAGTAAGTATTTACTATATAGCACTGCATATAGTATTCCAGGTACTATTCAAAAAAACTGGCCTAGATTGAATAATATATCTCTAATATTGAGAGATAAGAGGATAATACAAATATTCATTACTGGTCAATATATGGGGGGCGGTCAATAGAAAAGGGACAAATCAGGTAGATCACAATTTTGAGATAATTGAGTTTTTGTGTTGTGTTACACAAATTTCAAATTTAATCTGAAGCAAAACGACCAAATCCAAACAAGATCCGAAACAGGTTTCGAACCAAATTCCGAAACAAGTTCAAGTCAATAGAAAAGGGACAAATTTATCTAATAGATTTCCTATCGCTTCTATAATATAATCTTGTGGTATAGAAACAATTATGAATTTTTTTTGTGCTTAAAAGGTGACTACTACGCTTTTTATTTTTAGACTTAATGTTTGAAATATTATGATCGAATGACTAGGTAATACATAGTTTATATTATTGTCGTTTTAAAAAATTTTTTTTGTATGTTTGCGCTTTAGACTTGTAAGTTCTCGCAAATCACTTTACTAACAAACTTATACAAGTAGATTTTTAAGTTCATATGCTTTAAGTCGATTACAGTAAAACCTCTATAAGTGCACACGTCTGGGACCAAGCCTTAACAACATGTACTTAGAGAACGATAATAAAAAGTGCATTTATGGAGGTCATCTATGTAGCCAGAACTTGAGCGT